GATGACTTCAGTAGATCTCTTATCATAACATAGCTTCATGGAATCAGCAGACGTTTTCAAGTTTGAACACACTTGATGGTGAATATTATCCATCCTTTCCGATAACACTTTCACGAGCTCTGGCACATTCTCAGGCAACTCTTCATAAGGTGGGCATCCTGTTAACAGGTCCAGTGGCAACCGAAGTTCCCGACCAAACATCAACTTTGCTGGAGTGTATCCAGTGGTTTCATGCTCTGCTGTCCTATAGGCCATAAACAGTGGAGGGAGTAAGACATCCCAGTCATCTTGGCGGCTATTACAGTGTCCAATTGTACTTTTCTACCATCCCATCAGACTGTGGGTGGAGTGGCATTGTCCTGGTCTTTCGTATGCCAAACAACTTGCAGCATTCTTGGAACACAGCTGATTTGAAGTTACGGCCTTGATCTGAATGCAGTTCATATGGCATACCAAATCTGAAGAAGAAATCACTAATAGCAGAAGCTACAGTTGTAGCTTCCTGATTTGGTATTGCATATGCCTTAGGCCACTTGGTGAAATAATCCATCACCACACAATTGTACTTGTTTCCAGCACGAGTTTGAGGCAAAGGACCAGCAATGTCAATGGCTACTCTTTCCATTGGTGCACCAACTTGATATAACTTCATTGGAGCATGTCCCTTATGCTTGGGTCCCCTTTTAGCACAACATGTACTGCAGGTCCTGCACCATTCTTCCACATCTTGCCTCAAATCTCTGTCGTAGGTGACTCAATGTCTTCTTAACTCCAAGATGTCCTCTTGTTAAACTATCATGGGATTGATGCAGCACAACTTCTTGTAACTTTCTCGGTATAACTGTTTGCCAGGTTGTCACTTTCCCATCTCCAGAGAAGAATACCATCTTCAAGCTTCAACTGGTCCCATTGTGCCCAATAGTTCTTTGTCACAGATCTTAAGCTAGACACCTTCTCCCAAGCAGGGCGCAGAACACTTGCTTGTAGAAATTCAATTATTGGCTCCAAATCTTCGTCTTTCTCCTGTTCTACCTCAATATCTATACTTGGTTCCACTTTACCATCATCAACTCCTTCAGTCACTTTGACTTCAGCTTGATGGCACCTGGTTAGTTTAACCTCTCCTTTGCAGCAACATCTGCAGTCATTTTTGCAGGGTATTTGGCTCAGTCCATCAGCATTTCCATGAGATTTTCCTTCTCTGTATTCAATATCATAATTATACTGGTCTATCTTTCCGATCCAACGTGCCAGTTGTCCCTCAGGGTTCTTTAATGATCTTAACCAGTGTAACGCAGCATCGTCTGTCCTGATGGTAAACCTAGCCACATAGAGGTAAGGATGGAAATATGTCAGACTCTTTACTATATCAAGGAGTTCCCTCCGTGTTACACATTGTCTGGTGTTGGCCAATCACACACTGCTTTCACCTTGTCAGGATCAGTTTGCACACCATGCTCACTTACAATG